TCTTGCAACAAAATGTATACATGTTAAATAGTTTCACTTCACATTTTTTTAAAGGCCGTAATTAATGGCGGGATTATTAGACAATGTGTTAATCTAACTGTACCACTGAATAATGTATTATCTAACAACACACATGTTAAATAAATAGTTTAAAAGTTTATTAATTCAACATACACTGGTGCGTGGTCGCCTCTGAAAGACAGTCAGCATGCACAACGAGTAGCCATGCTGTTAACAAGAGAGTTCAAGAATGTCTGTAGAAGTCCATGCCTCTACCACAGCAATTTTTAACTTCTGAATGGTTCTGAATGGAGGTTGGCGTATTGCAATAGTGCTCTAAAGATCCTCCTAAGCATGTTCAATAGGATTAATGTCAGGTGATCTGGCCAGTCAATCCATTCGGTGAATATCCTCTCTTTCCAGATAGTCATCAGCTAGGTGGGCCTTATGTGATCGTGCATTGTCGTCCGAAAATGCTCTCACAGCCAACAGCACCCCTGAAAGGTCGCGCATAGGATTCTAGGATCTCCTACCTGTACTTCTGGACATTCATGGAACCGGTGTCAAACACATGGAGCGGTGTGCGGGTATCTTGTGTGGCTTCTAACCAGACCGTTATTCCTCCACCACCATAGTTGTCACTTTCCATGATGTTGCTGAGACGGAATCGGATCCCAGGTTCCGTCCATATCAATAATCTCCAAGAATCAGGTTGTAGACCGAATCTGAACTCATCCATAAAGAGAACATTAGCCCATTGAAGCTGTATCCACTGTTGGTGTTGCATGCACTATTGTAAACGCTTTCTTTTATGGTAAGGAGTGAATAGGATGAAAATAGCCGGCATATAGCCCTGTCTCATGGAGCCTTCTGGCGACTGCCTTCCTTGAAACAGCTGTTCCTGTGGCAGTAGCGAGGTGTGACTCTCAGTAAAACGCCAGGCGTCCTCTGGCGTTTTACTGAGAGTACCAAATACCTGTCGTTATTGGTCAAAGCTCTCGGGTATTTACTATGGCTCTCGGATGACCTTGCCTTGGTCTTCTGGACACTGTCCCGCTGTATTTAAAACTAATTCCACAAACTAGAGATGACACTTGCTATTACATCCAGTTCTCTTGCAACCTAAGCTTGGGATTGCCCTGCCTAAAACCTACCCACGATTTTCCATCTCATACCTTTGTCTAAGAATTGATGTGTACTCATTTCACCTAAAAGACAAGAAAACATAAGAAGATTATCCAAGGAAGTAATAAAAATTAATATTGTGTTTCAAGGAGCTAAGAATCTCTTGCAAAATTTTTATATAATCTAAAAATCTCTTACATTTTTAGCTTACAAGGAGCTAAGAATCTGGACCCTCATTTTTATATCTCCTGATGGCGTAGCGACGCCCACAGGAGAACATAAACTTATTTCAGCCTCACTAGGGCCACCTCGACATTATATGATAACCATCCGACCTGGTTTTGTATGGTATTTTAGGGGAAATGTGAGAAAATGTTTTCAATCTCTTAATAGTTTTCCTCCAGTGTCGTTCAACATAACATTATTAACGTAAATTAAAAGTTAAAGAACATAGTTCAACATAATATTATTAACATAGATTAAAAGTTAAAGAAACGTGAATTTAGATGTTTTGAATTTTTCCTAAAAATTCGAAAATTTTATTAAATTTAGAAATTTCAATTAAAAATATCAAGAAATATTAGCTATTCATTTTTTTCAGTTAATTCAGATTATTCTACCCTGTTTCTTACGTGGAATTAAAAAGCAGAATTTACACTATTAGTGTGTTTAGTTGCCGTTTTCCATACAATAGAAGGTCTCAGATATATCTGACGTTTTTGTGAGTGCTTCTGAGTTCGTAACCTTTTTCACATCTCACAATGAAAACAGTGTCAGGCATCATGCAAGAGATATGGATATTATATACTATGTTATATTAAAAGTCTAAGAAAAATATATTTTAATAATGTATATATTTTTGGTATTTAAAAGATTTTTATTTAAGTAGTCGGAAACAAAATAAAAAAAGTTAAAATGTTTAGATTTGCTTTGGGAAGGTGAAATATGAAGCAAAATTATAAAGAAGAGGGTTTTGGCGTAAAATAATATAATTTTATCTCATCCATTATTAAAAAATAATATTAAAGTTTTATCGCTTAAGACCTTGCACATGAACAAAAGGATACTTTGTGCAATGCACTATTCATATAGTAATTTTAAGTACCGAAACAGAAAAAAAAAAAAAAAAAAAAAAATACACAAGAAGCACAATTTTTTTTTCCTCATTATTTTTTCTTGTTCTTGTTTCTAGAAATATTAAACGCAATCGTTCTTCATTTTGATAAGCAAGTTGGAAAAGTTTATTAAATTATATTAGTTAGTTACATATGTAATAGGAATCGCTCAGTTACTTTTCAAACTGAAAAGCTTCAAATTTAATTGTTTTTGGGTGAAGCATTCTTACTGTTAAAGCTCTTCTTCTTTAGTGTATTGCAATATTTAGACAACTAATTTCTCCTCCAAAAGTGCAAAAGAAGAATTGATAGATTAAACCCTCCAAGGGTTTATGGATGTAAAATTTTAATGAAAAGATACTTTCCATTTCGAAATTTCTGCCAGTTCCTGATGTATCCTGTTTTAGGCTGTGACGTAAGGTAAAAAATGAGAGTGTCATTTTGAAATTATAATGAAGAAAATACCTCTAATTTATGAGATTTTGAGGAGCATGGAAATTTCAGGAGCCAACCTGCAACGTTTGAGGGGTTAAACAAATTTTCAACTTACTTAATAAAACATTATTCTTCAATTTCAAAAGACTATCACTAATATTTGTAACGCTTTTCTTTGGGAAGCTAATAGTTTGATTTTTTAATTGTACATTACATTACAAGTATTATTTCCCCAGACTTAATGTACAGTGTGATATCGTACAAATATAAATAATTCACCATAACATTCTGCATTTAACAAGTAAATTTGTGATCATAGCAATTTTGGTGACTCCGTAAGGAGAAAATGGGTATAAGACATTAGGATTCAATTCTCTGAAGTGTTATCAGCCAATACTAATCTGAAGTTTAGAAATGTACTTCTAGGCCGCTTTTCATAATTCGGTCCAATATCGTATCATCTTTAAAGAATTAATTTTCTCTTTCTTCATTAAGTTTTGTTTTTTAAGTTAATCCAGATTCTGTTGCTAGAACAAATAAGTTGAAAAAGGCATCATTATAATGGAAGCAGATGTAAATAATGCAGCACCTCTCGTCATTATTTACTGTCTGTTTCATGAGCAAAGAAAAACCTTGAATATCATTAAAAAGGTTTTCAAATTCATGATTTATGATTAAATTGTGTTCAATTGTTATATAAGGTATTTCGCCCGCCTTCCTAACGTGCCTTTGTGGTGTAGTGGTCAGCACACTTAGCCGGTATTTCAGAAGTCCGTGGTTCGATTCTCGGTGAAGGCGATTGCTAATGTTTCATCTCTCTTTCTTTTCTAAATAACCTAACGTCTCTACAGTTACTAAATTATGTGCATTTTTAATGAAAAAATCAAGTTTTTTAAGCTGAGGAGTCTTAACTGTCAAATTACGATTTGAAGAAAATAATTAATTATGTAATAAAATATTTCAACCTCTATATTATCATGGCGGTTCCCAAAACTTAATCACTAATCAAACAATATGTAATATGTAGCGAGGTATAAGAACACCTGGCGATATATGTCGGTTGATTGCATGAGCAATAAAAACAGTCTTATATCAGTAAAGTATTGTATCAGTATTATATCAGCCTTGTATCAGTAGTGTATCAGTTATATTTCATCAGTAATGTACAAGTAATGTAACAGTAGAACATTGATCTGTGATATTTTAATTCGCAATATTTTGAGTCTCTGTAACATATTATTTCGTGGATTTATTTACCGACTTGTGCAAAATCATTCCCATTTAATCAGTAATAATATTCAATGCTATATCAATGTATCAGTACTGTAGCAGTATTAATCAGTATTAATATTAGTACCAGTATTATATCAGCCTTTTATCAGTTCTGCATCTGTCATATTTGCATCAGTAATGTACCAGTAATGTATCTTGAATATTAATCTGTAATTCTTGTAACATGTTATTTTGTATGTCTTGTCGTACACGTTGAATACCTTTCAGGTGGCATTATGTATTTTGAAGGGGTGCTATAGATAGTGGTGGACGTGGTGCTATACTAATTAACCGTTTGATAAGGGGATAGTGGCCACGTACTCTCTCTCTTTCTCAGTCTTGGGGCCGCTATAATAAGCAAGTACTAAAATTTCATCTTCTCAGGAGAATAACAGTTTAAAGAAATTCATTTTAAGTAACTTAATTTTCTGAGAGCGTGAATAAAAATGTGAATAATAGCTTGTTGAATTGTTTGAAGTTTCGTCTTATTCAACAACTCTAAGCAATTCACAAAAATTTCAACTCCAAGAAGTGATCAATGTTTATATATGTTCTCAGAAATATTTACTTTCAGAGGTGAACCTCGCAAGAATTGAATTTAACTTCATTGCATTTAAATTAATTTTTATTGATTTACTGAGCCAAAATTATATGTACCACATTTCATTTTATAACTATTGAATTTAAGGTAAATCATCATATTTTTAACTTTTTATTTAGCCACTTAAAAATACATATAATGAATTTTAGTGTTCATTTCATTTTGTTCTGCTAATTGAAGTTAATAATTCAATGACTCCTCTCTAAGACGATTAATTACATTTCCTGATGACTCTGAAGCTTGTCATGTTAGAAAGGTGATGCTCAAGACTGATGTTTTTTAATGCTCTAAATAAAATAATGATCATTTTCAGAGGTATTCGTGTTAAGGAAGAGGTCATTTTGAGAAAGTTTACTGTACTTGATTTAATCACTTCAGTACCCATAAAAATTCACACATATTAAAATGAACAGCCCTTTCTTTCTGCTAAAAAATACTGAATTTTATTACAGAAGGAACATCTGGCTATGTTGTACTTTCTGTATCATGCTCATAAGGCGAAATGTGAATACCATGGAACACGCTTCGTGAATTTGCGTCTTCGAACTCCTCTACGTGTTCCACCCGTGTTTCTAGCAGCTATCTACAATAAACCGCGCCTTCTTCTTCTTTTACTTCGCTATGGCGCGAATCTATACACGAGAGAAGATGGAATCTCTGATGACTGGGATCTTTTCATGTTGCTTCGTCATCTAACAAGAGTATTGTGGACATCCCTAGGATACGATTTCCAGAATCATGAAACGGACTCCACTATGATCAGCTTCCCAATGCATAATGTAATATTATGCTTAAGGGTTTTGCTGAGATCCATTCGTCAGGTAAATGTGAAATATTTGAAGTATTTTTGTATTGGCATCCTGCAAATGTAATGGGAACACATTGACACGTACAAGATATAGTAAACGAAATAAATGTTACCCTTTTTTTAAGTAATGTTTGAACGAAAAGTTCAAATGCAGTGGAATCTTGGCTTACAAAAGTTTTGAATCACGAAGAAATAGGCTCACAAAAGAATTTTCCAAACAAAAATTGTCTTGAATGAAGAACGATGTTTCGAGATATTAACAAATAAGCCGGAAACAAATGGTATTCCAAAATACAGTTAATGCAGTGGAGAAAATGTCTTGAAAATAAGAACACCTAAAGGAAGATGTTCTTAGATATTTGATCGGTGAAATTTATGAGAATTGAGGCAAGGTGCAAAGGCTCATAGAATACTACACTGACTACCAATAAGTATTTGGACACCTGTGATAGAAAAGAAAAACTAACTTTATTCAAAATCAATAGTTAGTAGAGCCTCCACGAGAGGTAATTACAGCGTGGACCCTCCGGGGCATACTTTCCACAAGTCTTTGTATGACTAGTGGTATATTCTTCCACTCGGCTTGGAGAAGACATAGAAGTTCCTTCACCGATTTTGCACCCCTGAATTCGGCGATGCAACTCGTCCCAGAGGTTCTCGATAGGGTTCAGGTCTGGACTCTGGGCAGGCCAGTCCATTCGATGAACTCCATTGGCACCATATCAATCCTTGGTTAACGTCGAAACATGACAACTGGCATTGTCGTCCTGAAAGTAACAGGGATCCAACCCGTAAAACTGCCACAACGTAGGAAGTAAAACTGCCACACATTGTCATCCAAAATAGTGCAGTAGGCATCGGAGTTGAGCTTACCATGAATGAGGACCAAGGGTCCCAGCCCATACCAGGAAAAACACCCCCAGACCATAATTCCACCTTCGCCGAACTCGACTGTTGGCAGAATGCATTCTGGCAGGAGACGTTCTCCAGGTTGACGCCAGACCCACACTCTGCCATCCGAATGGTAAAGGGTGAACCTTGATTCGTCACTCCAAAGAACCCGTTTCCACTGATCTACGGTCCAATTTCGATGTGCTTTGCACCACATTAACCGAGCAGCGCGGTTGGACTTTGTGATCAAGGCTTATGGCAGCAGCACGACCATGAAAACCAAGCAGATGTGCTTCCTTACGGATGGTATTCATTGAAACAATACTCCCGGATGCCTGTTGAAACTCCTCGCAGATGAGGGCTATCGGTTGGGTGCAGTTCTTCCGAATTTCTCTGAACAGCACTCGTCGGTCTCTATCCCCCAGTTTCGTTGGTCTGCCGACTCGGGGCACATTCCAACAATCACCCCTCACCTTCCACTTCTTAATCACATAGGCCACTGTCGATATTGGGTACTTCAGATCGCTAGATATGTCCCTTAAGTATCGGCCACATTTGTGATACCCGATAATTATACCTTTCTCGAAATCTGAGAGCTCCGAACTGCGAGGCATCTTGCATGCGACTAAAGCCGATGCTGTTTCCTACACGATATATAGCTTTATAGGACAAAGGCTCAGTGATTCTTAAGTAAAGACGAACGTTGGTAATAAAAAATAGAGAGGGGAAAAAGAAAAGAAATAGTATAGAGAAATAGGATGCCTATTATTTTTACAGGATAAGATTTACCTTTCAAACAATAACATTTTCCGCCTTAGGCTTCTTAACCATTTTCTACTTTAGCCGTCAACTTTTCTTCATAGAAATACATCAGAATTTAATTTTTTCTATTTTTTATATGTTTAGAAGTGTGTTAAATATTGTACATATGTTAATATTGTGTATATGTTAGATTTAATGAATTTCATTGGTTTTGCGTTATGAACTTACAAACAAAGTACTTTTTACTAAGCTATTTCCAATATGGGAAAGGATTAATTTCTGCAAGTCTTTCGGTTTGCATATATTTTGGATGACGAACTATCTTTATGAGCGAATTAACTTCGTGAACCAAGATTCCACTGTAGTTCTTTATCAATAGAAAACTTAATCTTTTCAGTTATATTTGGAATACAACTTTCTCAAATATAGTTACGCCTAACTGCTAAACATATACGAGGTTTTTCAAAAATATTTTTAACAACATGTTTGTTTGTTTTAATTTTTTGATTTTTTTACAGATATTATATAATTTTGCCTTTTATTTGGAAACGAGATTTAGTTTTTTTTCTTTTAAGCAATTCTCCAAAAATATCTGAAGCCATCTAGTTCAGAAAACAAAGATGAAAATCAGTGTCATTGCTTTTTTTTTGACATAATCCGTCTAGTAATGATTCTTTTGAAAATTCCAGTGGTGTTATATACGCCATATACACACACATATGGTTTATTCTAAGTTCATGAACATCTATCCCTCACAGATACAATAGCTTTGCTTGAGTCTGCTTTACGAGTAATACCCCTTTTGGGTCTATCGGCTAGACGAAAAGGAATTTTACAAAGTTTTAGCTATATTGCTAATGACGAGCTTACCTTGCGTGGTTCTACACTGCTTCAAATGCTAATGTCTAGAATCCTTAAGGCAGACATCTTAATTTTAAATACAGTAAAAAAAAATCAGATGAAGGTTTAAAATAAAGCTTTTTATTTACATCTCAACCTTCGAGCTTGCATCAAAATCAGAAAAAGTTCATGCCAAATTAAAATGTCAACTACAAAGTAACACGCAACTACTAATTATAGTTCAGGCCTCAAGATTTCACAAAAAAAACTGCGGCTAAGGCGAAAGCTATTCACTGGAAGAGAAATATAAAAAAGTAATAGGTTATAGATAACTGACAAATGCTTTTCTCCTGAATCCAAGTGCTCTGTGTTTATATACATAAATTGAACTCTATCCTGGTTGATAATGACTGAATGTAAAGGCTAGATGATATGAAAACTAAGGTCAATTAACGTAAAACACAACTATGCACAGGTTCGCAGCAGAAAATATAATATTTTTTTCACTTCTAGGCAATGAAAGATTGTTTCGATTGTTAAACGCTACGTAAGGTTCACATTACATGAAAACCTAATGAAAAAAAATTGATTGAGAAATGAAAACAAAGCAAAAGGATTCTTTTATGACACTATATATTACAAGCATAATAATTTAATTTGTCCGTATTGTATATACAGAATAGTTCTTCACAAAGTCTCATAATAGCATAATTTATTTATGTAGATAATTTTAAATAAATATTGTCTTCATTACCAGAAATAAGAATGAACGAAATAAGAAAATATGCTCTTTAAAAGATTTTAAGTTAAAAATCTTCACACAGTCTCATAATAATATATTTAATCTATCAAGAGAGTTTTAAATAAGTATTGTCATCATTATCAGAAATACGAATGCTCGAAATAGGAAAATATCCTTTTCGAAAGACTTTAAGTTAGAAATTTAAACTTTACAGATGTAATTAAAAGCTGCATCTGAATCGTCTTCTCCAAAACTCTACCAAATAGATTCAGCTATTTCAGATGTTTTTTCTTCTTTTTTTGGGTCAAATCTTAAATTTAATAGATGATTCCCTTCCAGGAATGCTTTTGAAAAGTCTCCGGCACACGTATTTCTGAAAGCAGAATAATATTATCTCTTGGGAGGTTTTACAAAATAATTCGGCTACAAAATTAGTTTTAGCCTAGAAGGACTATTAATTTCGAAACGGCATTTTGCGTCGAATCACTTTTCAAATTGTTGCCACCAAATATTATCGCCATGTATTATATTGTCGCATAGATGAGGGGATCTTACAAATGAACAGGCAAGTACTTAAAGTCTAAACTCAAGACTTTTTTTACATTCAAACTCAATGAAGAGCTACTTATATACAGCTGGTGAACATGCTGGAACATTCCGGACTTGGAATGTTTTGGAAGAATAAGAAGGAAATTTACATAAATAAGATAACATTAACAAGAAGGAAATTTACATAAAAACCAATTATCAGGTATCTTGCCGTTGATGGGTCTTCAGTGTCTTCGTTTGGATTCGAATTCTAGGTCTCTCGGTTACTAACTAGATGCGCTTCCAATTTTACACCACGAAGGAAAAATATAAAGAGGGAGAAAATATCATCTGTCCCTCCTCCACTTACAGAAGACTGGACAGGAGGGGACCTAAATGCCAAACTTGGGGGTGAGGAATTATCTGATCAATTATCAATCCGAACTAAAATAAGGTATCAGCTACCTTATTTTAGTTCGCACGTCTCTTGTAAAGTCTATTTAGATTTATTTCAGAACAAGACACGTAACAATTGAGCGATGTCCTCCTCGGAATTCGAACTACTGACTTTCCGATTGCTACCCTAACGTGCGTCCAAATACATCCCGAAAACACAATGTAAGGAGGGAGAAAATACTTTACCAAATGAGACTCTATTTCGTGAGTGTCTTTAGATTAAGAGATATTTTGCGATCTGACGATGAGACACATTTTTTTTTCAATGTGAATGAGACATTTGGTGAATGAGAGACCAAATTACTAGGGGTATATAAACTTCTTTCAATCTTGAATTCATTCAACTCTTAATATTTTAAATGCATTCACTCAGAAAAAGGCACATTTTGCGCGGTTTCAAAGAAATTAAATGAAGGGGAATATCTTGGATTACGCAGCAGCTAAACGTTCTTTAATTTAATTTTAAGGGAAAGGAAAAACGAGATACTTCGCAATTTGAAGCTTAATTTGAATTGTGGTTCCTAATATATGAAGCGGTAATAGCCGCTACCTTCAACCATCCCAGAGCCCAGATTAGCACATCAAGCGGGAAAAGGAAATTTTATTTGAAGTTTAAAAGTATATTGACTTTTTTGGTTGAGAAGAGTAATACAAAGAAGAATTAAAGTGACTTTTGCGTAAAAAACTTAATTGGTTAGCTAGTTTAAAGCCGTTTAAATGCCGATATAAGAAGGAAAGTTGCCTTCGCTCGCTTTAAAATCCTTGAGTTTGTTAATCAAAATTTCGTTAAAGTTTCATAAAATATGAAATCAGTAATGAAACAAATTTCCAGTTAGGGCTTCCACATGCCCATATTCTATAGAAGATTACGCTATTAAAATTTTGATGGCTCTAGATACGGCTGTTTTATCACAATGAGAGAAAAATACACACATTTATGCAGATGCTTCATGAATAACTTTAAATATAATACAGGGCGATAGTCTTTGGTGGAAACAACTTGGAAATTGAGGGGGAAAAAAAAAAAAAAAAAAAAACGCTTGTAGTGAATGAACGCAAAATGCCAAAACGAAATTAATAGTCCTTCTGGGCAAATTACATCTTTGGACTTGACAATAAAAAAAAATAAAATAAAATCTGAAAAGTTTCAGATTTTAAATTACGTCCAAATGAGCGTTTTTTAACATTTTGTGTGTTACCCTTATTTAAACCATAAAATTCAGTTCAAGAGCAATATCGTAAAATAATTTTAACTTGAGCGTATCTTTAGAATTTCCGATATACAGTCTCACGCGCTGGAGATAAAAATGTTTTTTCTGTACAACACTGCCATTACTCGCTTTGAAATCCTTGAGTTTGTTAATCAGAAATTCGTTAAAGTTTTACAAAATATGAAATCGATAATAAAACAAATTCAAAATTTCAAATTTTGTTTTCCAGATGCCCATATTCGCAGTAGGATTACATCATTCAAAATTCAATGGCTCTATGTACCATTTTTTTATCACAATGCGAGAAATACATATAGATTTATGCAGATTTTTCATTATTTAATTTCTTCAATTATAATGCAGCACTCTAATATTTGGTAAAAACAGTTTGAAAAGTGAAACGGATATTTATAGTGATTCAACGCAAAACGAAAACAATAGTCCTTCAATGACAAAGCCTCTTTGGACTGAAAAAAATATATAAATAAAAATAAAGCTATATAATTCAAACGAAATGAAGATCTGAAAGCCTTCAGATTTTACATTACGCCCAAAAGGAAGTTTTTTTTTTTTTTTTTTTTTTTTTTTTTTAACATTTTGCATGTTACCTTTAAATTATTCAATATCATGTTCTCCGCAGTAACATAATTCAGATCTGAAACTTTGTGGATTTTTTTCCAACAGTAATTTTTTTTGAGTATCCCTTGATACATTAACTTTTACACATGAGAAAACACACAGTTTACCAAATATAATTAAATATAAGCTGCGATTCAACGTATTCTTGGTATGTTTTACCTAGTAAAAGTTTAAATTTGCTAAAAAAATAATAAGTTATCTCAGTACTTATTATACTTCTGCTCATTTAATATATGTTTTAATCTAAAATGTGTACTGGCTCCGTGAACTGAACGATGTTCTTAAGAAATATTTAGAAATACTTTCTAAAATTACATTAATTATGCCCATATTTATAAAAATAATTTTTCCAATTCTATAAAAATTTAATCTAAGTTGTCACAATTATTTTCTTTTGTTGGTAGGGAAAAAAAGAAAAAAAATTTAAATGAAAAGACGGGAAATTGTTAGTGCGTTGCTAACTATTCTGTCTGTAAACGTTTATAACTCAACATGCAGTTTCCAAATTAAACATTTAGCCAAGTGCGTTGACTTTTAAAGCTATTTTAAAACAAGTCAATGTAATTTTAATAATATTTTTCATATTTTTCATAGTGACCAGATTATTAAAAAATATCTTGTTTTTAAATAATATTTTTATTTTTATTTATAAATATCAGTTTTATAGATTTTCATTGCCTCCACATTTTTTTCTTGCATAAAAAGTAAGCAAAAATAAACAGTAATACAAGGTATCTCTGAAAGAATAAGAGGAATTATTTGCTTTAAAATTAACTTTCTCTAATAAAATAAAAAAAAAAAGTCTGCCACACTTATATAGCAAATATGAAAGTTTGCTACTTAAATTTTATTTGTGGAGCTTCATACGTCGACGTATATCAAAGCGGTAATGAAAGCGGTAATCAAAGCGGTATCAAAGCGGTCGGGTAAGAGCGACACTAACATTATATAATGAATCTTGTTGATCTTGTTTGGAAAATAACTTGCGGATTACCATTCTGCATCATTGAATCTAACTTTTTTAAGCAAAATGAGTAAGATTAGCAAACTATACTTTCTAAAACAAACTGCGCTTTTGTGTTGAGCCATACTTGAGGATATGGAATTACCGAATCAACATACTCATTACTTTCACACCACAAAAAGCAAATAAGCTTAATTAATAATTTTTTTAAACATCACTTAAAACTTTACATTAGAGTTTTAGTTAATTTCATTATTAACGAAAGTAGTAAAAATTGGAATCCAGATTTTCACTGCCTTAACTTGAAAAATTAAAATAAAATCATAGATTTTGAAAGATCAAAATAAAATCATGATCAATCATTGATTGGTTTTATTGAAATAAAAGTTAGTTCTTTCTTGGCTGAATTTAAAATAGCTGAAGAAGTAAAAACTCAGTCAAATAAAGATGAGTGTTCGCACGTTTGGCTTGCATACAAACCTACAGTTTTACTCCGATCTTGATGGAACTTCGCGGACTTGATCTTCAAAGCAAGAGGAAGGTAAATGGCCATAACATACCTCAAATATTACCCTATAGGATCCGCACTTATAAATACATACCAGGAAGGTTAGACTAAAGGGAGTAAACCTCCCTCGTATGGCAATAAAATTGAAGGCATGAAACGTCATAGTATGACGTCGCGACTTATCATGGCCGCTGCCATAATCGGACTTATGGTTGGTTTTGTTTACATTCTAATTGGCGTTATCAAGGTGTTAATTATTCATTGCTGAATATTTATAAGTCTCCCGTTCTAATTTTAACACTTAACGTAAATGATTTTCTATTTGGTAAATAAAAAAATTACAAGGATTGCAAATAACTGTTTCATATTTAATAAATTCTAGATACATGAACTAACGGTAATTATAAAACAAATGTATACATAATAAAACCTAAAACACTAGTGAAAGTTTTAATGGTACTTTATGCAAGTTATGCCTGCAGACGTTAATATTTGCTCTCAAATTTTATTTACCAATTTGTAATTTTATTTATCAATTAATTTTATTTAGCAATATATAATTCGCAGTCTTATCGGTACGTTATACGGGGGCAATGGCAAGTCGTGATGTCACTTTGATGACATTTCCTTCGCTTCACTTTTGTGACGTCATGCTTACTCCATCTATTCCTGGGATGACTAAACTTCAAGACGATACGATAGGAGAGGCATGATAGATTTTAATGAACGTTCGAAAGCCGCTAGTCCAAACTTATATCGTTTCAAAAATAATGAGATAGGATTTAAATAGAGAGGAACTTTTGAAGTAAATTAAAAAATATGTAATTAATATGATTACATATAAATATGAATAAGTATATCTTATATTTACCGTTTTGAAAAAACATTTTTAACTTCAGTGCGCGAGACTGTGTGTCGGAAATTCTAAAGATATACTCATTTTAAAATTATTTTTCGATATTGCTCTTGAACTGAATTTTGTGATTTAGGTGCGAAGACCATGATATTTAACTAACATAAATATAACACACAACTAACATAAAGATAACACACAAAATGTTTAAAAAAAGCCCCCTTGAAAGCCTTCAGATTTTACATTACGCCCAAAAGGAAGTTTTTTTTTAACATTTTGCGTGTTACCTTTTTTTATTCAATACCATGTTCTTCGCACTAACATTCAGTTCAACAGCAATATCGCAAAATAATTTTAAAATGAGCATATCTTTAGAATTTCCGGTACAGTATCCGGCGAGTTGTTTACAAATATAAAATACATAATAAAAGAAATTCTAAATTTGAGCTTCCAAGTGCCCAGATTCAGGTGTAGTCGTACGTTATTCAAAATTTGATGGCTCTAGATGTATTGTTTTATCACAATGCGAGAAACACACATGTATGTATGCAGATTCTTCATTATTTAATTTCTTTAAATACTATAATACAGGGCTCTAATATTTGGTGGGAACAGTTTAAGAAGTGATTCACCGTTTATAGTGAATCAACGCAAAATGCCAAAACGAAATTAATAGCCCTTCTGGAATAATGATCTTTGGGCTAAAACGAAAATTAAGAAGCTCTGGCATACACAATAAATATTTTCATTATAACTTACGAAAACAAAATACTTTTTAACTAAAACATTAGTTAACTAAAACATTTTCCATTTACTAGTTTCTCATGAGTGTTTTTCCAGAGCTTCGAAATCTATAATTTTTTTTCTTAAATAAAAGAACCTATCCTTATATAGAAAAAACATGCTTTTTTTTCTTTCCCAGATAAAAATGAGTGAATTGGATTTTCCTTTAATGAACTTTGACCAGGGTTCCTTGACTGGATCCACAAGCAGCCGCAACTTTGTTAACTGGATTTCCGAAGAAGGGCTTGTATCTAAACTAGTCTCAAGATATCTTGATCCAGCAGAGCTGAAGCATCTGTGCAGGTTCGAAATACGGAGAGTTTTGAATAGAAATTGGAAACTGCCGTACGGTATCGTCGCTTTACCAATACCGAAATTACTGCAAGACTACATTAATCTTTCTGATGATTAAAGAAGCATGAATTTATCCACCAACTATAGAAACATTATTTGTCTTTGAGTGTTATACATGAGATTTCATAAACAAAGCTTTAGTTTAGTCCTTTTACTTTCTTGTTCGAAGTAAAGGAAGTATTGTATTCGCGAAAAATTTCTAGTATCATATTCCAGTGAAATTATCCATTTCAAATCCATTTGAAAAAATTTTTTTGCGTGATATTCGTATGTACGGACAGAATAAAGGACTCTGTTTTCGAAAACAAATTGTAAAATGGATTTAAAATGGATTCAGAAGAAATGTCTTTCGTGATGTCTGTACGTACGAACGTATGTACGTATCTCGCATGACTCAAAAACGAGCCTCAGAACACTGAAATTTTGTATGGGGGACTGCTATACAAAATTATATATATATATATATGTATGTATATATACCCACTCTGTTACTACATTTGCGGCGGAGATCAGTTTTTAATTCTTATATGTTGGCTTGAGCATTTTTTGCTTTAAATTGATTGAATTATGTTGTTTTTCTGTTTCGGGTAAGGTTTTTATGCCTTTAATTAAGCTGCATGGAATAGTCGTAGAATTATAAACAATTTAAAAGTTGTTTAAGTGGTATGAAGGTTAATGAAGCCGCTATTTGTTTACATTTGAAACTCTTAGTGTAATAGTGAATTCAGTTAGTCAGTTGTCTTGTCGAATGTTGCCGAATGGACCAAGAAAAAACTTTGAATTTTGTGCACCTGAAAATCTGTTTACATGCCCGCTGGACGAATGGTTTGTTTTCACGCAGAAACTATCATTTTAATTGTAAGAGAATTTTTTAACGTTTTTTTAACTGTATTTGGTATTTTTATGTTTTTCTGCATTTTGCAATTTTTAATGCAGATTTTTTTAGCTTTTAAGTATTTCTGCCTTGCTGCGAAGAGAGAAATAAATTGATTGAATGAGAAGTCTCTAATGAAATTCGAGGAAATAAATTTAAATGAAGTTCAGAAAAAAAAGTGTATAATTTAATAGTCCTTGCAAGGAAGTCATATGGTGTACTCATCAGATTTATTAAAATTATAAGTCTGGGGATTTTTTTGGTTAAGTATTCCTCAGGAATAATCGGACCTACCAGTCATTTAGCCCTTTTATTACCAGAAGCGAGTATAGCGAAGATTTAATAATGTAGCTTCAATATTTTATCTAAAGCAGTTTTTTAGAGAAATAACTGTCTTCGGAAGTTTTACGTGTTTGGTCCAATAATGCTATTTTCCCTGTGATTAGTTAACCTACACAAATATTTTACTGTCGAATTTAAAGTACTACTGCTAGAAACCTACATTTAAATTAGTTTTGAAAGAACACGTTTCCAGAAAGATGCCTACTACATATTTGAATGCATATTTGAAATACTCCCTGGAACTATCAGAACCGTCACTGAATCAAGACAAAGGTCTGCACTTTTCTCCCATCTCCTATTCTTTGGAGCATTTACATCATCGATCTTCGCGGCGGAGCGGTAAAGTCGCTGAACACTGGTAGTTCGGTCCGAGGCTCGAATCCCGCGAACGGGCTGGCTGCATGGGTGTTTTCGTGGTTTCCCCCATGTGTAACGTGTATACGAGCCAGTTTCCCTTAGAAAGTCCTCCACGAAGGCATCCCTCCCCTTAGGCAGATAGCCCTAGTGTGCTTTGCCATAATTAAATACCCCACCACACCACCATCATCGAACTTCAATTTTTGGCAAACCTTAATCGAGCGAATGAACCCAGTCGCCTAAAGGCTTGCAGAACTATAACATCTCCGTGCCCGTTCGTATTCGTAAACCTTACATGGGTCCTATGCGGGATTTGAACCCAAAGGCAATCAACCTCCCCTAGCCGCCATATGAGCAAAGACAACTCACAAATACAGTAAATGTGATAAATTCTGAAATTTTCAGTTTCGACGTAGACTGAGTTGAATTCCTTTTTTTTGCAGCTCAGCTGGAATCATAAATTGAATAAATAGAGTTTTATGAATTGATGCGTTATGCAATTTAAAGCTGTTAGTTATGTCCCAAGATTTCTTTGAAACGGGTAACTAATCAAATAATTTATAAAAACATTTATCACTTTACAATCCAAATGAAAGTGCGGATAGCCCGTTACTGGTTATGGCAAATTCTTAAGGGCAAAGAAACCGACAGTGAAACGAGCTTGTACATCAGGATTTAAGCCCCCGTATAGAATAACTAGGCTTCAGTGGACTCATTCACACATACGAGTGTGATTTATTTAATTCGAGGTCGAGCAGTCTCATTTTTGCTGCTTGGCGGAAGCTACAGAGTTGCATAGAAAAATTTTATTTTCCTAGTTTCTGTTTGCTTTTAAAGTAAAGAGAAGTTAGTAAAACTTTTCAGGAATTTACAGTAATAAAATATTGTCTTATTGAATAAATTATCTATAAAGCTTAATAATGAAAACAAAAAACATTTACATGCTTGATTTCCTATGTTATTCAACGGTGTTTCCTTTATACGTACAACTCCCTAAAATGACTAAAATTTATTTAAAAATAGATTCTGAACCTAAAACATTTCTTATTTTTAAGAATGTCTACCATATATTGGGAAATTTAAGATACTTAGAACAGTGCTAACTGCACAGTAGGATTCTGAAAAATTCCAAAACAGGCGTACTGCCATGAAATTACATAGATTTAACCCTAAATTATCTTCTATTTTTTCTTAAAATGTATTAATAAATGATTAAGGTACTTTGTTTCCATTTAGAAACATTACTTTTCTTTCAATAAGATCTATTAGTGATCGAACCGATAAGGTCTAGGAACTATGCTGACCCGTGTTCAAATTCGGAAGAACGATCTGACTGCTTGGAAGTTTTATTCGTTTCCTCCATCTGTAATATGATTACGATACAGTTTGCCTTAGAAAACCCTGTACGAAGGCATTCTCCTCTTAGGCAGTTATCGTTGTTTTTAAACTAAATAGCCCAGTGATTTCAATAAGAAGAATTTGCATAAAACCTTAATATAAATAATGTAATGCCCATTAATGTAAATAATATAATACTGTCTGTACGCCCAGTCTGTATAGTGTTTAGTGATCCTGACTGTCATAGTAATTGTCCCAAGTTCAAATCCCAGCGAAGGCATAGTTGTAGCTATCCGTCCCTTTATAGAAGGCAACGGTGGTGCTATTAAGTTCTTCTATGATGAAATGACCACAACTTCCGGCCCTTGTAGTGGAGCAAGACTAATGGCTGTTAAATAAAGTGCCATTCAAAAATAAAAACAATGTTTTAAATATGCTGTTTGAGTTGTGAAGAAATACATTAAGTCCTTTCAACTAGAATTGCTGAACACTGATGTTTGAAAATGGGTTGAGATCTCAGCGAACGGGCTAACAGCATGCGAGTTTTCATGATTTTCCTGCGTGTACCAAGAACGCTAGATAGGTTTCCTTTAGACACTCTCCAGGAAGGCAAACCTTAACCTCAGGCCTATAATATTCGCGTAATTTGCGTAGACAGTAGAAATCAGAATTTGCCATAATCCAAACAATCCAATCCAACCCATTAAGCGATTTTAAACGCAAAATAAAAATATAAAGGGAGAGGGGGGGGGAATCAATATATCCATACACCATGCATAAAAATTTTAAGTCAATTTACTTTATGCTAATTAGCTCACAACTTGTTTGTCATACATATCAAAAGAACAGAATCAAATCAAACATTAAATGTAGACGCAGTTTTTGTAAATATGATAAATTAATATAAAATATTTTTAAAATATAAAATTCTTAAAATTGAAAAGAAAAAATATTTACACACTTAAAAACTTTTAATCTTCGCAGCAAATCGTTTTGGCACCGTGGCTACAAAATGTTGCGTAATCTACCACTTACTTCTGCCTATTTTACAAGTTGTTTCTGGGAAGCGTTTTCTATCAAAATGAGCAGCAGAAAATGAAACAATAGTTGATGCAAGAAATTTCATTATAAAATTGTTCAAAAATAGGAAATATCTACGTGAAATAGCAAGTGCAATAGATAAATACAACATGCTACTACGCAATATATTCTAAATAAGTTGTAGGAATACCATCATTGTGTATTAATCAGTTAACTTAAAATTTTAGCTTGTACTATCACTTCTCCTTTCCGTTTCCTCACTGCAATACAAATCAGCTTTAAGAGTATTAGCTGAGAGTTTTGGACTGGAATACACAGCGTGTTTCTGCGTCTCGGGGCCACTTAAAATGTTTTGCCAGCTTACGATTCAAGTTATTCGGTCTTGCTTTATTTGTTGCCGACATTTAAATTGTTATTCCGGTTAGAGTTTTGAGTCAACTTCAGTTTAAATGTATTTACGTTGCCTTTGACTACTACCCCGTATTTTAATTTATATTCAACCGTTACTTTATTCTCATCGCCACAACAACTGCTTGTTGTTTTGTTCTGCACGAGAAGCGATTTTGTTTAGGTTTTGATTTAATAAAATGGCAGTTTTAAATTTCTCAAGTCCGTAGCGTTAAATTCAGATACAGCAATAATTCTTTCCAAATTTGTTAGAAATTCTATACTAGTTTATGCTACAAGGAAAATAAAATATTGTCAAGTTTACAAAGACTACAAATGTAGAAAATACCTATCGTTCTGGGAAATTGTCGCAGTTAAGCTAGAAGAACGAACGATTCATTTTGAAGAAAACTGAACTGAATCCTTTTGTAAGCACCTCTTCTATTGTTTAAACCTCCAGAAAGCTGCTAGAAAAGAGGTTCATTCTTGTACGACTAAAATATTTATAAAAATAGTCTAGATATCATGCTCGAACAGCTAGAAGAAAACCATTTACAAGTAAAGCTAACAGACAGTAGAAGTCAGAATTTGCAAAAGAATTCATTAAGAAGTCTAAAGAATTTCGTCAGTAAATAATTCCTTCGGATGAAAGTAAATTTAATTTATTGCAGTCGAGTGAAAGAATGATGAAAAAAAGCTGGGGTAGAAAGATGAAATAA